TGTTCCAGGGCATGTTACAACGACCCAGTCGGGTCCGCGTACGTATTGAGGCCCCACCTTGGAAACGTGATCATATCGGGGCTGTGGGGCGCTTCTATGGGACATACCGCGAGTGTACCAACAGTGAGGCTATGGAGATCAGGGGGGAGACAGGATCGGGACCCAACGGACGGAGCACAATGTGGACCAAGCCGCAGGACCCTCAGCATCGACCCGTGGAACTGGCATCCTTTCGTATCAATACGGGGTGGACAGTGGACCGCGAGATCTGGGAGGGGGTACTTATGCGAAGCGGTGTGACGACTACATACGACACATTTGTTACGAGTCTTGCCGGCAGGTGTGACGGTGCAGAGGTGCCAGTCGGGCTGGTGGCCCCACAGCCCAGCATAGGCTAGGCACCCAGAATCTTATGAAACAAGGGGCTACAGCAGATCGGGGATTTGCTTGCATGAGGGCACTTCTTTCTCACGGCTGTGAAGTGTTCTGTTTACAGGAGTGTGAACACTTACCGTCCAATTCAATTCAGCTGCTTGGCTGGCACCTAGTTTATTCAAGTGACAGGAAGGCTTCCATAGCTTTGAGGGGGAAGTCTTGTCACAACATAGTTCGCTCTTGGAGTAATCATGCTCGTCTTGCTATTGTGTGCTTGCGTCATCCGTGTATCTTTCTTGTCTCTGCGTACTTTCCGAACAGATCGGAGAATCGTTCATTGGAGGTGGCTTTTGAGATGCTGAAAACAATCGAAACAACTTATCGGAGGTGGAAGGAGGAATGCAGATACACATGTGAGCTTGTGATTGCAGGGGATTTTAATGTTGAGCTTGCGCCCGACATCACCTGTTCAGGAGGCACGGTGACTGGAGGTGCTGTGCAGATTCTCGACGGGAGGGGATATGGGAATGATGCGGAGGATAGACGGTGGGAGGAGGACATGTGGCGATCTCAGCTGCAGGAGTGGCTGTGTCGGATGCGCTTGCTGGCAGTCAATTCTCTTGGCTCGCCGTACTCTCGGCAGCCGACTTTCGTGCGTCGTGCGAATAATGCTCGACGCAAGTCTGGGGCGAAGACTATTGCGCCAAAAGTGCTTGACTATCTCATGGTCCCACAATCCTGGGAGGGTGACTTGGTTGAATGCCGAACGGATTGGATCCCAGAGACCCCGACTACCAACTTCTCGGATCATGCCTGTGTCTACGCCGAGTTCCATATGCAGAACCCTCAGGTCACGAAATATCAAGGCCCTCCTAGCCACCACACAAGCCACAAAGAGTTCCAATCGTATCGGGAGGAGGCCCAATTTCAGGTCCTGGCGGACGTCCAGATCCCGACGGTGCCCCCACAGCGTCTTGCTGAAACGATTGCTGGTCATGCGTTACCGCTCCTCACGGTGAGGGCCCCCAGGTACTCTCGAGGGCTCCCGCCGAGTAGGACTCCTCAGCATGCCGAGCTGGAGGTGCAACTCAGAGAGGCACGTGCTAGGAAGGACAGAGCGTTGGCTCGGGACCTTCGACGTCGCATCAGACCGCTTGCGCGGGAATATCGCCGACGGAAGGTGGAGTGGGAGGCGCTGCCATCTAGGAAGGGGAGGAGGACACGTGTGACGGAGTTGAGGGTGACGGACACTGGGGGAGGGGATATGGGGCCTACGACTATGATGACGGAGGACAGGGAACTGTGGGCGGAGGAGGTGGAGCGATATGCTGTGCAGAGTATGACTTGTGATGGCTCCAGAGCCCGCAATCGGGAGCTTGTGTCCACACTGCGTCGCCATGCTTCTCAATCAACAGCCTCTTCGGACAACACACTTACGATTGCATACTCCTACTATTCTGCAGGCGCGGAGCAGGCTCCGAACAGGACGGGCCTGCGGGCCCGACGGCATCTCGGTTGAACTTCTCAAGTCTCTTTCGTGGAGGTCAGTGCGTTCTATTTGTAAGGTTTTCTCTGATATATTCAACGGGCTTCGCCCGACGCCAAGGGAATGGCAGGAAGTATACCTAACACTTATGCCGAAAACGAGCAAACTGGAAACATTGCGACAAACAAGGAACCTGCTTGTCGGAAATACCTTGGCCAAGTGGTATCTCACGTGTGTGACGATTTTACTGGAACGATGTGTGGAACCCTTCATGAGTGATATGGCGGTTTACGGTTTTACCAGCGGACGACGTTGCTGGGAGATTTCATCGGCCATGAAATGTATTGCACAACATGCTTCCACATGGGGGCGAGATCAAACGGCGTGGCTCCTCAGCTGTGACATCGAGCGGGCGTTTGACGCTGTGACGTTGCCGACAGTCTCGAGAGCGATGACGGCCCTTGGGATCAGTGCACGGTTACAGTATGCGTTATTGGAGCCTCTCTCATCTACTTCATGCACGTTGCTGTTTGAAGGAGTGACAATCCCCAATGTGCAGTGGGATAGGTCGCTCCGTACTGGGGGTACCGAATCACCGATCGCGTTTACTATTGTCACTATTGCTATGTGGCGGGATGTGATTGCTCGCCTGGATCAGCGCGGTGTCGGAGTCGAGATGCCATGCCATGATGATCATTGCCGGTATGCACGTTGGAATCATGCTCTCTGGGCTGACAATATTTTTCTGGCCGCCAAGTCAGCATCGGAGGCGCAGTTAGCGGCCACTGCCTTCACTACTGCTCTCAGGGATTGGGGGATGGAGTGGAAGGAGGAGAGTCTAGAGATGATGGTGTGTGGTACTCAGTACACTGATACGGTCACGGTTCAGATTGGCTCGCGGATTGTTCCTTTCAAGCATATTGAGAGTTTGAATGTGCTGGGGTATCAGATTCCCAGGAGTTTCACTTCTATCCACACGGATGTGCAGGAGCGCGTCCAGCAGGCCCGAAGGGCATTCTTTGCGCAGGTGCAGTATTTTTCGTGCAGGGCGCTGCCTCTGGTGAAGAAGTTTCGTCGATATCAATCGACTGTGCAGAGCCGTCTTTTATATGCAGCAGAGGCCATCACGATTGACAATGAGTGTGTGAGGGTTATCCATGCGTTCGAGGGTATGTGTCTTCTGAGAATGTCAGGGAGGAGGAAGCCAGGAGATGTGGGGCGGGAGGCATGGCGGCCAGCTGCACTGACACGAGTCAGGACAATCTTCTGCGATGGGGGATTCCCGTCGGCTGTGCAGATGATGCGTTGGAAGAGCTGGGGCATGATGCGCTCCACGAGGCAATATGTACTATCTTTGGAGGAGGACAGGACGGCAAGGACGGAGGTTGAGGTGGAGGGATCAACGACTCAACGTGCTAAACGCGTTCGCTTTACGGATGGACGGGGGGAGGATGTACCTGCAGCGACTGTGATGGAGGTGGAGGGGAGGATTACGGATATGGAGAGGAGGCTGGAGGATCTTTGCTCGCAGGTCGCCTGTTCCATTGCCCGCTCACAGCCGATGCCCTCTGGAGAGGGAGCTGCCCACGCTCTCAGAGACGAGCCACTTGCCGTCTCAAAGGGGAGGAGGGCCTTTCGAGACTCCCGACGTGCGCTTATGATGTACAATGTTGGCTGGGTCACGGCTCGCGACACAATAACAGAGGTTCTACGACAACACGGCAACAGGGCCTTATCTAGTTCGGGCAAGCGGCTTCGTGGAGGCCCTGTGTCTGTGGGCGGTCGGTCTTGGCAGTTCCCCTACATTCAGTTCTTTGGGGAAAAGTGGTGGGAGTCTGTACGGGGCGATTGGGTTCAGTTCTTGGAGGTATGGAAGCAACTCCTTACACAATACAACAAAACTAAGGTCTATGATTACTTTGTGGTGTCTTGGAAGGGCTCTCCTAATGGACCTCGAGGCTCCCCTGAGGCTCAAGAGAAGGCCGATACTGAGGCGGTCGACATCGCGACCAACCCTCTGCACCCCAAGTACGACCCCAAAGAGTCCGCCAAGCTTGCAATACGTTATGCTATGATCCAGGAACGTGCGACTGTGTGGGATATATCCTCAGAGGGTTTTGCTGCTGAGTTCAAGGGTGACTCATTACTTATCTGCTCCTGGCTACAGGGGAAATGGAGATGTGAGAATCGTGGCTACTGCAAGAGGACAGCTGCCATGATTGATTGTACCTTTGAGCTCGCTGCGTGTTTCAATCTGAGGCCTGCTGCCTTGGGACGTGAGATATGGAGACATGAATTCAGGGAGGACAATACACGAGCGGATGAATTGACGCATGAGGCCAGATGTGGCCGCACATTCTACAGAACTCATTGTTATCTATATCCATTCGAAACTTATCTCTTACCGTTCGCTATCAGGGGAGGCTTTGATGGCGGGGTTGACCAGCAAGGATCAGGATGTGGTTTCTGGCTTCAGATCGGCTTAATCAATACTCAGTGCAATCCCAGTGAGATAGGCATCGCTTCCGCGAGAACCGTGGGCCCCTTCCCTGCTGGGCATGAGTTTGCTGTTTCTAGTGCCGTGCCCCTCGTTTGGAGGGATGTGGCCGAGGCCGCGTGGCTCCTCGAAGGAGCTACAGTCACAGAATGTGAATTGTCGGCAGCCGAAGCGCTGCTCAGCGCTGCCCGTGTGCTTCTGCGGGACCGGTCCTCGCCCAGCTGCACTCAGCTGGGAACGCGAGTCCAAACAAACAAACAATAAGCAGGGACTCTTTTAGAATTGCCCAGGTTCGCAGGCCTGGAGGTTGACGCCAACACCAATATCGGCGGTTTGCTTCCACCGAGGGAAGAAGATCCCGATCTCGGTGATGGCGGTAGTACTCTGGATTCCAAGGTGACCGAAATGTTACTGCCAACGCCAAGTCCGTCATTCATGAAGATTAGTGCGAGTGCTCTCCCTCCCACCTCCGCGACCGCAGTTGTTCGGGTTCAAACAAGGCGCGGCCCGTGCGCGGGCGCGCGATCCGCGCCCGCGCGCGGGCGAGACCCCCCCAGGGGGAGGCCCGCTGCCGCGCGGCTCGCGGCTCAGCAGGAGGAGCCGTGGATCCCTGTCCCTTGTCGGGGGCGCGAGCCGCGGCAGGCGGAGCGGCTTGGACCGTGGCGCCCAAGAAGCGGCCTGCGGCTGCAGCGCGGCGTGGCTCGGCCGCGCTGCGCCGCCCAGCCTCGCTGGCGCCGAGGGCGGTGCGAGGCCAGCGCAAGCCCGACGGCGCGCGCGGAGGCCGAGGCCGCCCCCGCGGCCACCCGCCGCCGCGCCCCGACGGCGGCGTCACCAAGCCGAAAGGCGGCGGGGGCGGAGGGGGCCGCGGAGGCAGCCGAGGCGGACGGCGGGGTTCAGCCTCACGGCTCCGCCAATCTGCGCTGCGGCGCTCCCGCTCGGGTGGGTGGGTCGCGCAAGGGCGAGCGCCTCGCGCCTGGCGACCGAGCGGCTGCTGGCCTTGATGACGACGACGACATCGCAGCCGACTCGCGCCACGAAGCGGGCCGCCCAGCTGGTGAGTGGTACCAGGGCGAGACCTGGCCGACGGCTGCCACGTCGGGCCCGAGGAAGGGCCAGCCGCCGATCATCGAGGTCGAGATGGACGGGCTGGCGACGTCCAAGGTGCTCGGACAGGCAGCGCAGGACGACGGCACGGTTCCCGACCCGATGTACGGCGAGCCCCCGCCTCTGTGGGAGGCCGCCTGCATGGGCGCGGAGAAGCCCGCCCAGCGGAGGGAGCTCGCCGTGGCGTTCGACGATCCGGTGAGGACTCCAGTGCTGCACTTCTGCTCGGTGGCGGCTCATGCCGACGAGTGCCGCCTGGGCGAGGACCTGGTCGACGCGCAGGTGCTGCACGTGGGTCGCTGGCGCTGCGCCGCGCTGCCGTTCCGCGGCTACGCAGGCGAGGAGCACGCGCGCGACCAGGAGGACCAGGCCATCGCGGACGCCAGGCGTGTGCAGGGCAGGCCAGCGAAGCGGAGCTCGCCCCCTGGGCCACCCCCTGGTCATCGGGGAGAGCGCGGGACGGGCGCCGAAGGCTCCAAGTCGGACGCCCGCCGCGAGGGGCCAGGAGGTGGCGCGTCGGCTCACGCCCGCGATCGAGGGCTGAGCGCGCGGCTGGGTGAGCTGCGCGAGCGTGCTGCCCAGCGCGGCCGCCCCGCAGGCAAGAGCGGGAGGCTGCGGTCAGCGCCAGCGAGGATCCGTTCCAACGGTCCCGAGGACGAGGGGGAGCGAGGAGCCCTGGTCGAGGCAAAGAGTGCTGAGAGGAGCCACTCGCCTCGCCGGGGGGAGGCCCGCGACAGAGCGCCCAGCGCACCTGCCGAGGGCCGCGCCAGCCTCAGCAGCAAGATCCTGGACAAGGCCAAGTCGAGAGGCACCAGCTCTCAGCGCGCATGCTCTGCAGGCGGAGGAGGAAGCTCTCGCGTCTCGCCTCCGCGCAAGGCGAAGCGCGAGAAGAAGAAGCGCCGCGAGGAGTCTGACGGCAGCGCGTCGAGTGAGGGGTCGTCGTCGAAGCGTTTCCGCGACGCCCGCCTCTCCGCGCGCGACAAGGCCAAGCGCCTTGTGGAGAGGAAGCCGGGCGTTATCACGGAGCGCGCCTTGACGAAGATGCGCAGCTACCTCATCAGCAAGGGGCGCGCGTTCGAGGACGACACGGCGCCGTGCATGCTGAACTACTTCACCAGCGTGTACCTGCCGAGCTGCCAGGGCAAGCTTCACGCTCGCAACGAGCTCGAGACGCGCACACTGGCAACAGCGGTCGACGCAGTTCTCGAAGCCGATCTGGGGGCTGCCACGGACGTGCTGACCCAGCAGTGCAAGTCCATCGAGCAGCTCCACGCCGACGGGGGCAAGTGGAAGGTGGCTCGGCAGGCCTTGGTGGTCGGCGACGGTCGCGTCAGCATCACGGGCGATCGCGATCGCGAAGCCTTCCTCAGGGACGAGAAGAGGGACATGCACTACCGCAAGCTGGAGGGCCAGGTCGGGTCGAACCGCGCCCAGTATTGACAAACACCCGCGGGGGAGCCGGCAGTGATCGGAGTGCCCCCGCGGTCAGGGTCGGAAGGCCCTGGAGGAAGCTGTGGTGTCGAGCTGAGTCCAGCAGAGCGGGGAGTCGGCTCTCGAGAGCGCAGTCCCGCAGGTCGTGTCACACTGACGCCAGCGAGAGACGCGACCTCGGCCGACCGCAGTCCCTCGGGCGACAACCGCGGAGGAGACAGGGTTCGCTTCTCGGAGTCCCCGCCGAGGAGGAAGCTGTACAACCCTGCGAGCCCTGCGGCCCACGTTGGATCGGACGGGGAGGAGTTGTCCCAGGAGGGCGATCGCGATCGCGCACCCCGCGGCGGCGCACGGCAGGCGCGGACCCCCTCACCGCCGCCGAAGGCGAGACCCAAGGGCAGAGGCAAGGGCAAGCCGAATGCCAAGGGCAGATCCAGTGGGAAAGGCAAGGGCTCGGGGCCAGGCAAGGGCAAGGAACCAAGGAAGGGCCTCCCTCAGTATTGGTTCGCCCTTCGCCAGGCCTTCGCCAGGCCAACAAGAAGAAGGGCCGCCGAGGGCCCCCCCCGCCGCCTCGCTCGCGCCCATCAAGGCGACGCGAGAGGCGGCGGAGACGGACCAAGCTCGGGCGCCTGGCTGCTCCACGCCAGCAGCCCAGCGCGGCGGCAAGGCGCGCCCTGGGCTTGAGGCCCTTCGAGGGCTGATCGATCCAGCCGAGCTGTCGGGCCTGGGACTGCCAGCCATTGGCCCCCTCCTCGCCCGCCGCCCCCCCCTCAGGGCGTCGCCAGGGGTCGGTTGCAGCGCGGCAGCCTCGCACGGCCGCGGCCCCATGCCGATGGCTGTCGGGGGAGAGAGCGGGTGGGGCGAGGAGCACAGGCAGACTGCAGCTTACAGGCAGCTCGAGCGTGAGGGAGACGACGTGGGCCGCCACCGAGCCCACCCTGTCCCTGACGGGCTGGAGGTCTGGTTCGAGCTGGTGATGCGAGCGCTTGACACCGCGTGGTCGGCACGGCGCTCTTGCTGGCCAGGCGACGCATCCAGCGGAGTCAAGAGGAAAGGCGCGAAGCCGAGTGGCACCCAGGTCCAAATGTTCTGGAACCTGGAGAGGACGGTCGAGTCTTTCCTGGCAGCAGGCCCGAAGCTGCCAGAGCAGACCGCCGCCACTTTCCTGACGTCCAGGCAGGTCACCTACAGCGGGGAGGCCGTCAGGACGGCAGAGGACCTCTCATGGCCCCGAGTGCTGCCGAGCTTGCCGCCGCTTGCGCGATGTGCATCGCTGGACGTCGTGTCCCTGTGCGACACCAGGATGCAGGAGTGGTTCAGTCGCCCCGAGCTCACGTTGGTGCCGCTGGAGTCAGTCAGCGAGAGACCACGTCCAGGCCGGGTGATGCGTGAGCCGCCGTCGCGCATTCCCCAGGGAGAGGTCTCCTCGAACGTGGGCTGGCGGTGCCGCTTCGAGAGCAGGACCTCATAACAGTGGCGGGGCAGCCCCTTCTGAACGGGCTTTTCGGGGTCCCGAAGGGAGAGCCCTCGCCGAATGGTGACCCTGGGACCTTGAGGCTCATCATGAATTTGACGGCGACCAACTCCCTCACGGTCGACTTCGGGGGGGACATTGCGGCGCTCCCCTACTTCGCACAGTGGCGCTCGCTCATCATCGGCCCAGGTGAGGAGCTCACGTGGTCTTTCGACGACCTCCAGGGCGCCTTCTACCTGTTCAGGCTCCCAAAGTGCTGGGCGCCGCTGTTCGCGTTCGACGTCAAGTTCACGCCTCAGGAGCTCGGGCTGCAGGGGCACTGGCCGAGCAGCGTCTACCTCGGGGCGGTCATGATGCCCATGGGGTACAAGAACGCGATGGGGCTCGTCCAGTACCTGCACCGCCGCATGCTGGTGCAGGGCCTGCAGTCTCCCCACGGCCTTCCGCAGGCGAGGGAGATCCGCAAGGACCGCGGAGTGCCAGCCTTGCGAGTTGGGGGAGGCACGTGCGATGTCTGGCAGGTGCATTGCGATGGCGCCGACTACGCGGAGAAGGTCGCGCGGCGTGCGTGCGAGCCCCACTCCGCCGAGGGGGTTTAGTTGAGGAGAGCGGTGACGATGGGCGCTTCGCCCAGGCGGCTCGTGCCAAGTACCGCGCCCTCGATGTTCCTCTCAGCGAGGAGAACGGCACCATAGTCAGCCACTGCCAGCGCCTGGGCGCCTGTGTTGATGGCCGTGACGGTCGCTGTCCCCGCGGCTAGAACAGGGCTGGCAGTGCAGTTGACGCTGCACCTTCTGTGCTCCAAGGTCAGCAGGAAGGACGTGCAGGTGGTGGCAGGGCACTGGTGCCACCTCGACTGCTTCCGTCGGGAGTGCTCCTGCGTCTTCACGCGCGTCTGGAAGCTGATCAACGCCTGGACGGGGCCGCCTCGGCAGTATCTGTCTCCAGCTGTGAGTGCGGAGTTATTCCTGGCGCTCTGCCTCCTCCCGTTGTATCAGTTCGATCTGGGATGCCCAGTCTCCCCGATGGTCACCTGCAGTGACGCCTCGGAGACCAGTGGGGGCGCGTGCTGGAGCGACAAGCTTCGCCCGTCAGCCGTCGCCCCGTCGCTGGCCGACCTCTGCCAGGGTCTGCCGAGACGAGGTCGGACTGGTGGAGCTCTTCAGCGGCATCGGGGGCGGCAGGATGGCCTTCGACCGCTTGGGGACTGAGGTCGCCGCCCACGCCACCGCAGAGCTGCTGCCCGAGGCTCGGCGCGTCAGCCATCAGCAGTGGCCGTCAGCGATAGAGCTCGGAGACGTGACCAAGATAACGCTGAAGACCATCAAGGCCGTGATGTCGACGGCGCCCCAGCTGCGCGTCGTGTTCGTGCTAGGGGGACCCCCGTGCCAGGGAGTCGCTCGCATCAACGCCTTTGGGCAGGGTTGGGCCGAGGACCGCGCACGATTGGTGCAAGAGCTACCTCGCGTAGCAGGCCTTGTGCGAGCCGCCCTCCCCGATGTCCAGGCATTCACCCTGGGCGAGAACGTCAGCTCGATGACGGCCGCCGACAGGGGAAGATTCAGCCAGGTCATGGGAGTCGTGCCCGTGGAGCTCTGTGCCAGCGGGTGCAGTCCGGTCAAGCGGCCGAGGCTCCACGGGGTCGACTGGCCGCTCGGGCCCGAGACCTCCGACTTCCAGCACCAGCAGAAGGACGAGGTTATCGAGGCAGTGCTCACTGGCAGCTGGCCGAGTTGGGCAGAGCAGCTGGAGCAGGGTGCGCGCCGTCCGCGGGGAGAGAAGGGAGCTTGGGCCACTTTTGTGCGCCCCATCCCTCGCGAGAGGCCGCCACCTTCCCCAGCGGGGCTGGGGGTGACCGACCAGGCTGCGCGCGAGCGCTGGGCGGCGGACAAGCACCGCTACCCACCGTACCAGCACCGCAGGGACAACCTGGTCGAGGCATCCGCCGCTTCGGCGAGGACTTGGGAGTCGGGCGCCAAGCACAAGCTTCGACCTCTGACCAGCAGAGAGCGGGCTGTGCGCCGAGGGTTTCCCTGGAACCATTGCAGCTGGGCCGTGCCCAAGTCCGAGTCGGGGTCGATCCACGAGGACGTCAAGTGCTCGCTGCTGGGTAACTCCTTCTCAGTCCCGGTGGTGGCCTTCCTGCTTGGAAGAGGTCTGGTGGCCGCTGGAGTCTTGAGCGAGCCACCAACTGTCGCCGAGTGCTGGGGAGACCCAGGTGGGGAGGGAAGCCTCTACCTGGAGTTGCTGCTGGACGCGCCTGCCGCCGAGGCGACCCCCGATCAAGTGCACCGCGCCCTTTGCGAGTCACTTGTGCGGAACGCCATCTTCAAGGGCAGCGATGTGCGCGCCGCGACGGGAGGCCTGTGGAAGCCTGCGGGTTGGCCAAGGAGAGGCGTTGATGCAGACCGCTGGCTCTGGCGCACTTGCCTGAGCTTCAAGCAGGGAGGCGCGCACATCGACGTCTTGGAGCTGCAAGCCCTCTTGACCGCCGTGTCTCGGCGCATGAGGAGCCGTGCGAACATACGCACGAGGTTTATTCATTTCTGTGGTTCTCAGGTTTCCATAGCAGTGGCCTGCAAGGGTAGGTCGCACTCCCGCCAGCTTCAGTCCATCCTCATGCGCTGGAACGCGCTCCTGCTAGCCACGTCCAGCCACCCATTTTGGGTCTTTGTTCGGTCGGAGCTCAATCTGGCCGACGCTCCGAGCAGACGGTGGCAGCCATAGTGCTCAGTGGCGGGACGAGGCAGCAGAGAAGGGATGAGCGAAGCAGAGCGGGAACCCTTAGATCATTGCAGCTCCAACCGCGCACTGTCCAGCGGTATCTGGAGGCCACGCATATATTTTTCCAGTGGTTCCTGCGCCTTGGCGAGCCCTTGCCTGTCTCGATCCCAGCCGCCGCCGAGATTCTTGGGGAGTATCTCGAGGATTGTTGGGCGGCTGGAGAATCCAAGAGCTCGGTGGGAGACACGCTGTCGGGGCTCCAACATTATGTTCCAAGTTCGCGCAGAGGTCTCAACGATTCTGGGAGACTGTTCGGCACCTGGTCTAAGGCCGAAATCCCTTCCCTTGCTCGGCCGCTGTTGCCCGAGCAGGCGCTGGCGATGGCAGGCTTTGCACTAGAGGAAGGAGACAAAGCGACAGCTGCGGCAGTACTAGTGTGCTTCAACGGCATCCTTCGCCCCGTCGAGTGCATGTTGACAGCTGGGCAGTAAACCTTTGACCTGGACCGCGGCGTGGTGCACCTCAACCTCGGTTTCGCCAAGGGAGGTAAGAGGTCAGGCACCGCCGAGCGCGTCACCATCGACGAGCTCGAGGCTGCTGTGCTCCTTGCCGAGCTTTTGCAAGGGCGCCCAGCTGGCACCCAGCTGCGCCCCCGCGGCACGGGCGGCTTCCGCCGTGCCTTCGGGAGACTGGTCCAGTGCATTGGGGCCGACCCTGATTGGTACAAGCCGTACTCGCTGCGCCGGGGAGGGGCCGCGCACCACTTCTAGATCCTGGGAAGTCTCTCCAAGACATGTATTCGCGGCCGTTGGAGGCACCAGCCCACGGCTCGCATTTGCATCCAGGATGGCGTGGCCACGCTGGAGCGCCACGGCCTCAGCGCGAAGGAGCGACGGTTGATAGCCAGGGGAAAGTCCTTGCTACGCCGTCGTCTCTGATGCCCGTGCCCTGGGCCCTCGGACGCCCATCAGCTCCGCCAATTCAGCGCAGCGTGGGAGGTCACGCGCGCTGGGAGTGCACGCATGGAGTGGGCGCGCGCCTGAGCGCTGCGGCTTGCCACCCTCGGCGCCCAGCGACCAGGCAGACCAAACCACCTCCTGCGTCCAGCGCGACGCCCCCGACGGCCGTCGGAGGGAGGCGAGGGTTGGAATGAAGGTAATATGCACAGGTTCTGGCATGTGGAACAGTTTCAAAGTAGGGGAAATTAGGTTGCGAACGTAGATTGTTATCACATCTTCACCATATATACATATACCATAGGAGTAGGCCCGCCGCAGGCGCCGAAACTACCGCCAGACAGCCAATTTCGATCGCAAGCCCGCCGCAGGCGCCGATTTGGATTGAAACCTGAACCAACATGAGGATGGCGAGCCCGCCGCAGACGCCGATTTTATCGCCAGAGCGCGAATTCTTGTCGCAAGCCCACCGCAGGCGCGGATTTTTCATTGAAGCGATAAAAAACATGAGGGCGGCAAGCCCGCCGCAGGCGCCGATTTTATCGCCAGAGCGCGAATTCTTGTCGCAAGCCCACCGCAGGCGCCAATTTTTCAGTGAAGCCTCAAATGGAATGAAGATCGCGAGCCCGCTGCAGGCGCCGATTTTTTCAAGAACCACGGGGAGGTCGCAAGCCCGCCGCCAGCGCCGATTTTTTCTTGCACCGAGAGGGCCCTTCCCCTCCCACGACGCCGCGGAGGCCCCCCCATTGGCGGGCCTGCCGCCCCCCCCTCGGCCGGAAGAACACAGAAATAACAGAGCGACTTGCCGACCCCAGAGCAACCAACAAGCGCGCGACTTGAAACGAATTCGCGTGGGCGGAACCCCCTCCTCATTCCGATGTTGGCCTTTCGGGGCCTTCTTCGGAGGACTCTTGAGAGCTCTTGCGGCTTCTTTGGGGCCTCTTGCGGGCCCTCTTGGGTGCCCTTGTTGCCTCTCGGGGCCTCTTTGGGTGGGCGGGGTGGGGGGGGGGGATTTTCGCATCCGGAGGGGTCGCAAAATTGCTCCCCACAAATCATGCGGAAAGTCGCGGGGGGGCCCGGAAGATTTCTGAGTTTGGGCTCCAGGTCCTTCAAAGAATTTTGAAGACAGAGGACTGAGGCTCAAGAGTGAGGTAGATGACGTCGGAACACGCCCGCTCTGTGCCTCAGGGCGTTGTGGCGCTTTGGGTCTTGGAAGATCTCTGGCTATCTGGAGCCGTGTCGCGGGCCGTCTTGAGCCTTGCCGCGTGTGGGGGCAATTTTTGAGCCATCGCGGGCGCTTTGATGGGCCTGCTATAAGGGGGCCCGGGACAGGGGCCGCGCCCATCCCCGACAAGGAATTCGTTTGAGAAAGCAGGGATCGCCGACAGGGCCGACAGGATGCACTGTTGGGCCCCGCTATTCGGCGGACCTTTTTTTCACATTTATTGTTTAATTTTCATGGAAAAATATGCGCGCCCATCGAAACTTATTTTTTGTATATATTTCCGCTATTTTTGTATTATAAATAGCGGAAAAATAGCGAGAAAATAGCGAGACAAAAAAAAGGCGCGCGGAATTGTCTGCGACGGCCGCCGAAAAAAAATAGCGAGAAAGTAAATAAAACATAGGCGCCGCAAAAGTCCCCGGGGATGCACCTTTTTCCCCGCTATGTGTTTCATTTTTTCGTTTTGTTTTCGCTAGTTCTCTGCCCGCCCCTCCTCCTCCTCCTCCCCCCCCTCCCCCTCCGCCTCCTCCGCCTCCCCCTCCTCCCCCCCCCCTCCCCCTCCTCCCCCCCCCCCTTCCTCCTCCTCCTCCCCCCTCCTCCTCCCCCCTCCCCCCCCTCCCCCCCCAACCCTTCCTTCCTCCCCCCCTTCGGCCATGCCGCCCAATAGGGGGGCCTCCGCGGCCTCGTGGGATGGGGGAAAGGCTTTTCTGTGCAAGACAAAAACCGGCGCTTGCGGCGCTTGTGATTTCCTCATGGTTCTTGAAATAATCGGCGTCGATCGTCATTTCATTCACGTTTTTAATGACAAATCGGCGCTTGCGGTGGGCTTGCGCCATGAATTCGCTTTCTAGAATTCATTTTCAGGTGAAAAAAATCTGCGCCTGCGGTGGGCTTGCCATCTTCATGCTTGTTACGGCTTCAGTTTTTAATCGGTGCCTGCGGCGGGCTTGCAATCAGAATTCGTTTCCCGATCATAAGATCGGCGCCTGCGGCGAGCTTGCCATCTTCATGCCGGTTTTGGCTTCACTACAGAATCGGCGCTTGCGGCAGGTTTGCAAACAGTATCCGCTTTCTTCTTATAAAGAAATAGCGTCGTTTGCGGGCTTGCGATATCAATGCGTATTTTTGCTTTGATCCAAAATCGGCGCCTGCGGCGGGCCTGCGATAAGACCACAGCGATCCCCGCCAAGCCCAACTCAGCGCCTTCACTCCTTTCCGCATCAGCGGGGGTGGGGGCTGGTGCTCGTGGATGCAGCAAGCCTGCTGCGGCAGGGTTTCCACTCGTGGGGGATGCTCGAAAAATGTCCACCCCCTCCTCCTCCTCCTCCTCCTCGTCCTCGTCCTGCTCCTCCTCCTCCTCCTCCTCCTCGTTCCCCTCTTCTTTTTTTTCCCCCTCCTCCTCCTTCTCCTCCTCCTCCTTCTCCTCCTCCCTTTACCCCTCCTCGTGTTCGTCGCCGTGGTCATCCTCGTCCAACTCCTCATGTTCTTCCTCGCCCCCCTCTGTCAACTTACGCCTCCTTTTCTCCTCCTCCTCGTCCATATCCTTCCCCTCCTTCTCCTCCTCCTCCTCCTTCTGCTTCCGTTGTTTCAATGCGATTCGCCATGCGATGTCACGCAACCTCTCCGGCTGGAACTCACTTTCTCCTGACAGCTGCGCCGTTGCAGTTTCTTTCCCTTCTCTCTGCTTTGCCGTCGTGTCGCCGCCGCCGCTGCCGTTACATTCGGGGCCTTGTATATGTTTGTTCTTTTCTGCAAGAACATATTTCAGCGGCTTAAGTTTGACCCATGTCACATAAGTTTGTTTCTACATTTTTCATGCAATTAAACTGTTTCCTGGATTATGAGGCTGTCCATTAGTAGCTGCCCGTCTGGCGCCCTGCTCCTGAGGTAGCCCGGCGCATCGCCACCAAGGTGCGGGCTGCCGCGGCCAAGAGATAAGGAGCGCGGCCGCGGCAGCATCAGACGGGAGCGAGGAAAGGAGGAGTGAGGGGCACTAGTCCGTCACTCATGAAGATTAGTGCGAGCGCTCTCCCTCCCACCTCCGCGACCGCAGTTGTTTGGGCCACCGACCCCGCCCAGCAACGCTGACGCCCTGAGAGTTTCTTAACCTGAATGCATCAAGGGCTCTCGCCCCCGCTGAGGGGAGATGAGTGGGCGCGCACCTGAGTGCTGCGGCTTGCCACCCTCGGCGCCCAGCGACCAGGCAGACCAAACCACCTCGTGCGTCCAACACGACGCCCCCGACGCCCGTCGGAGGGAGGTGAGGGCGGTTCGCCCGGGCCGTCTGGCGCCCTGCTCCTGAGGTAGCCCGGCGCATCACCACCAAGGCGCGGGCTGCCGCGGCCAAGAGAAAAGGAACGCGGCCGCGGCAACATCATACGGGAGCGAGGGGAGGAGGAGCGAGGAGCACTAAATGTAGGATCGTCTGCCCCCTGTGGAGGCAACACCCTGTGTTGGTGTTGGTGCCCATTTCCAGGCCTCCACCACATGTTTTCTTCTACGAAGGCTTCTGGGAAACCAAGTGCGGCTTCCGAGATACCCCTCGCCGTCGTAGAAGACCTCCGCTTTCCAGATGCCCACCCACCTCGCGCGCGCCGCCCAACTGCGCGCGTCGAGCGCGCACTCGGCGCTCGTGGATCACCTTGTGTGGGTCACCCCCCGACGGAGGTGAGCCTCGCCTCGTCGGCGAGCCGCGATGTGGAGGGTCGGAGCACCTCCGGCGCGCGGCGGCTGACCGCCAGGAGGGTCGATTTGGGGCTGTCGCCGGGGTCGATGACGAGTCGCAGGCTTGGTGTGCCATCGTGGACCCCACGTATGTTCCCCGAGGTCCCAGCACCACATGTCTTTTCACGGCAGGCGTTTGCGCCAGGTTGTGGGCCCCGGGACCATCGCATCAGGATTTGGCACGAAAAATTGCCACGGGAAGGATCCGTCTGGGGCTCCGGTCGGGTCTTTGTTTGCAGTGGTGCAGTTTTTTGGCGACGGCGGATCTCAGGGGCCACAGCCACCCAGCTTTCGCGCATGGGACCACCGACTGCCACAGAAGACCGCCCGAAGGCAGACAGATGGCCGACGGGTGACCAGGGGTCCATAGTCGAACACGCACGGTCGCACTTCATTCGCATAGACTTCCCTTCGCTCGGCTGGACCAGCGTCTCTTCAGAGGCTGGCCCAGCGACTGATCAAAGCTATGCCAGAGAGCTGACCCAGGCTTCTCAAGCCAATCGCTTCTCCGTCGTCGTCGCCCTCGTCGCCGTCACCGTCGTCGTCGCCGTCGCCGTCGTCGTCGTTTTCGTGGTCGTCGTCGGCGGCAGCGGCGGCGTCGTCGCGTCGTCGTGGTCCACGGTCGAGCATCTACGCTTCCCAACATTGCGGACGCCTGGGGGGGGGCGGCGCCCGTCCTCGCGAGCGAGCGCCGGCCGCCGCGGAGGTCATCCTGGCCGACGAGGCGCCGCGCGCCGCCCCGCGGCCGCCGCATGGCGCTCGGTGCCGCTGCCGCCACCATCGTTTTCCTTCGTCCTGGTGGTGGACGCCGCCGTCCAAGTCGTCGCCGTCGCCGTCGTCGTTGCCGTATTCGTGGTCGTGGTCGTGGTCGTGGTCGTGGTCGTCGTCGTTGTCGTCGTCGTCGTCGTCCAAGAGGATCCCCGTGGATGCCTCGCCTCGGCCGCCGCCGCGGCCGCCCGCGGCAGTTGTCGTCGTCGTCGCCGCCGCCTTCGCTGCCTCCGTCGTCGGCGTGGTTGTCGTCGCCTCCCTCGCCGCCGCACGGAGAGCGCCGGGGGCCGCGCTGGAGGCGACGTCAAGGGGGCTGGGCGCCGATCGAAGAAATCTGGTCGGGCCTCCGAAAATGCATGTTTCGATCCGACATGTTTAGAGTTTATCCTGGAGCCCCATTTTTCTGATGCATGCCCGATCAATCGGGGATGGGGCCGGGTGCCCGAATCTGGGCGAAAACGCCCGCTGTGGGTGGCCGAAACTGGGCGAAAACGCCCGCTGTGGGTGGCCGAAACTGGGCGAAAACGCCCGCTGTGACAAAAAGCGCAGCGCCTGGATCTCAGGGTTCACTCGGGCGGGGCGAGGGCGAGGATAAATCCGTCCCAGACCGTACGCCGTACTGGGACCATCTCATTCCAGGACGCTCTGAGAAGGCCGCGGCGCCTGAGACATCCTCCAGAGCTGCTGGATCTCAGAGTTTCTCGATTTATCCTCACCCGACTTTATCTTCGCCCTGGCTTCGTCTTAGTTCGCTCTTCCCTGCCCCTTGGGCCATCTCTGCGCAGCGAGCGACGGGGCGGTTCGACCCTGCGGCGTGCTGTACTCGCCGCGATCGTTTCCACCGCCCGGCCGCCAAGTGGTGGGCCTGCCGGGAAGGCGGCGGCACCGCCACAAGGTGGCAATTCAGAGGCAACCGTAGGGGGGGAAACACTGGGTGGTGGCAATTGGCGCTTCCAGGTATCCCTGAGATCCTGGCGATTCCATTTTTCCGAGCCGGGCGCTTTCGCCAAATTTCGAGCCCCGGGACCCTCACATCCGCTTCGAACAATGACACAAAAGCATGGGGTCCAAGGGTTCCGTCGTGATTTTTCTCGATGTTGCAATTTTTCCGCAGCGTCGGATTTCAGGGATTGAGGTCAGAGTTGTGGAGGTACGTTGGCACCCCTCCAGCCGTCTTCGTTGGCCGAGGCACCACAGGGAGGGCCTCGGCCCCCTCCAGTGCCTGGTGGCGGCATGGTGGATTTCGAGCTGTGGATAGACTGCAGAATCGATTTACCCAAAATCGATTTGTTCGTCGGATCCACGGAAAGGCGTACGTAGCACCCAGCTGTTGCGGATAAGAGTTAGGGGGCGGCGGGGACGTCGGCAGTCTGCGAGGCTCTGAAGAAGCCCGCCACAGGCGCCTACACGAAGTTATACAACGAGCCCGCCGCAGGTGGGTGGGTCGCGGGCTGGGTCGTGGGTGGATCGCGGGTGGGTCGCGGGTGGGTCGGGAGGTGGGTCGGGAGGTGGGTCGCGGGTGGGTCACGGGGTGGGTCGCGGGTGGGTCGCGGGTGGGTCGCGGGCTAGGTCGCGGGCTAGATCGCGGGCGGGTCGTGGGGGGGGGGGACGACGACGACAAACAACAACAAGAACAAACAACAAACCAACACAACAATCCGCCAGGCAGAACCTCACTTCAGCCACGCGCTCTGAGACAGTGAATCAGAATGACCGTTCGGCCCCCTAACTCTGATAGTGTTCATACATCTACGAGTCATATACGTATTTGCTGTAGATTCGACCGGGAAATCAAGTCTGGGATAAACCAATGTTGTAGTCGATCCCCTACTCGAGGATTGGTGTACTGATGGGAGCGGGACCCCAGCAGCCCCTAATTATGATGGCAGTTGCCGAGGGGTGGCTCAAACCCCGACGCGCAAGGCCCCAAAGAAGGCTCCACAGGCCCAAACGATCGTTTGGGCATGTGGAGCTTCGTTTGGGCCCTGCGCGTCGCAGCCCGGCTCAGGGGGGGAGGCATCGACCGCAGTGGCCCGTTCACCGCAGATAGGGGCTTGCCCAGGACCGTGCGGATTCACTATCGGGAGCCCTTCGCCGATCTATCAGCGATGTATCGCCGAATCCAGGTCAATGCTTCACGTTGAGCTGGTCTCCCCTTATCGTTACCCCTCGGTAGTTCAAGGCGGCCCGTGTTCACCCCATGGGTGTGGGAGCTAGCGCTGCCGATCCGATTCGATTATGACCCCTGGCGTCTCAATTTTGTTCGAGCCGGGCGTGCTCGGGCCCCGGGACCCTCACACATCGATCCGGCTCGCAAAATGGCGCAGCAACATGGGCGTCCAGGGCTCTGGTAGTGATTGTCCGCGATGTAGCAAATTCTTCGCGTCGTCTGATCTCAGGGCCGCTCCAGTGTGGCCACATCGGGTACGCGTTCCGATACTATCCGATGGATCGATTCGATGTTGGCCGCTCCTGCCCGCATCGCCGGGACAGTGGGGGCATCTTGGAGCCTCTTGGGCGACTCTTGGGGCCTCCTGGTGGCCTCTTGGGGCGGAAGGCTCTGATTTTAGATTTGTGTTCTCTCTCGTGGGCCCATCTTGGGGCCGTGTTGGGGCCCTCTTGGACCGTCTTTGGCGCCTCTTGGGCTGGCTTGGGGCTCTCTTGGGCCGTCTTGGAGCCCTTTGGAGGCCTTTTGGGGCGGTCTTGGGGGCCTCTTGGGCCGACTTGGAGCGTCAGGAAGTCGAAAAGGCGAGACAGCCAAGAAACTTTCAAAATCAACGACAAATCAACGAGTGTTGCCTCTTGGGGCCCTGTTGGGAGGCTTCTCTGAGGCCTCTTGGGGCCGTCTTGGAGCGATCGTTCGGCGACTCGGGGCCCTCTTGGACCCCCTTCGGGGCCTCCTGGGGCCCTTTTGGCTGGTCTTGGGGCCTTGTTGGGCTCCAAGGAGTCACACGGGGAGACGCGCCGGAGCCCAGGGGGAGACGCGCCGCAGCCCAGGGGGCGCGCGGGAAGCCCCAGGAGATCGTGGAATTTTTGGCCCGGGCCCCTGAAGGACTCCACAGGACTGAGGGTTGTGGCTCCATGGATTGGGCTAAGGACCTGACGACACGCCCACTCCGTGCGCAGAGGCACGGTGGCGAATGGGGTTCAATCCAGTAGCCCCCCAATCGGGCTTTACGTTTATTTAGCTTTCAGCATTTCCACGGAGACCTCCCAGGAGTTGCTGCCAAATGCAGGGTGAAGAATATACAGCGCAAGGGGGACGATTCCGACATAGTTCTCTGCCGCTGGAACAGTTGCTGGGAGAGGACGACCAAACAATCTCAACCACGATGACAGCAACGCCCACGACGTGGTCTGGAACCAAATTTACGAAGCACCGCCCAGGGCGCCCCCTGGGGCATACCCCAATCGCCCAGAGATGGTACATGTCTTGATTGTTTAGATTCGGGCTCCCCTCTGCAGGCCCGACCCTTTCGCCAGGGCCGCCGTTTCGTCCCGAGTTGATGTTTAGCGGTCCCAGGGCCCGACGAGGGCCCCCGGAGGCCGAACACGGCGAAACGTGCCCGTTTTGCCTTGTGTTACGCTTGCTTGCCCTGATACGCCCGTTCTGCAAAGCAACACGTACCTTGTTCAAAACGTCCGTGTTAACATGCTGCGTGTTGGCTCGGCACATGTTGGGTCACTCTCAGGCCTCCGTATCTCGCCAAACCTACGTTTTCAGTCTACGTGTTGAGCTCCGTGTCAACTCGCTACGGGTTGCGTGTTGGGTATCGGGGCAGCGCGGCTTCCAAGACGTTGGATGTCTGGAGTCCATAGCCTCTGGCTCGTGCCCTTTCTTGGGCCCCCTCGGCCGCAGGTGGGCTTCGACGCCCCGTCCACGCCCCTCGCCGCGGCCGCGCCGCTGGAGGCACGCGGGCAGCTCCCGGGGGAAGGGAACGGCTGATGGACAAGATCTTGCACCTTTAATGTTGGTTTAAATACCTCCTGCGCCCCCAATTCAACATTGGCGCTTGGCGACGCGATGTGTCGATCTGTCGATTGGCCAGAATCCTGCAGCATCCTGCACGCCGCTGGCGACGCCAACCCGCATTTAATCGGGGGCAGGGGGGGCGCGTTGAAGTTCGCGCCGGCACACTGGTCGCGCGGGCGGCTTCGGGTTGCAAACAGACAGCCCCCGAGGTAGCCCTGGGTAGCCTCAACAGGCCCCCCGAGTAGCCCAGGGCAGTTTCAACACCCGCCAGAGTCGATCAGCCCATTGCCCTTTTTGGTTCCAATGTTTGCGGTCGCCGGAAGGGTGTGGCCCCAGGCCGCTGTCACTAAAGGTTGTTTTGCCAAAGGGCTCCCTGCCGACCCCCTAGAAGGACTTTTGTTGTCTGGGGCAGAACATCGCTTAACGCAAGGATAGACTAAGGCCCGGGGACTAGCGACTGGCCCCATTGTCATACAGAAGTCGACACGCGCACCGTCGCCAATTCAGCCGGTATTGGCTCCATGTGTTTGGAGGGATCGTGTTCACCCTGCGCCCACGTTGCCAGATCCACGGATATGCAATACATGTTAGCGTGTACCTGAAGGGTGGGGATTGGGAAAGGCTAAGGGGGCGATCGGGAAAGGTTGTTGGATGGTGTAGTAATTAGGTCGGAGGCGGTTTTCCAGCCTCGAGATGTTTTCCAGCAGCTGCGCCGTGCCAAGCGCGTTCCAGGGGTGGCCGAATCGTGCCGAACGCCATCGACGAGGATCACTGAGGTTCATTCGGGGCGGACGCGAAGCAGCGGAGGATTGGGAAACGGGGAAGTTACGAACGGAAGGGGAAAGGGGAATTGGGAAAGGGGATTGGGATTGGGAAGTGGATTTGGATTGGGATTGCGAAAGGGGGATTGGGAAAGGGATTGTCGCATGAGTCTGGTTTCGGCCCCGCCGCCGCGCGCTTTCCTGGATACGTGGCCGCCTTTGGCACTGGGAGGCGCCGAGGAAGCCGGCACTGCGTGCAGCTGATTCGCTACCCACCCCGTTTGCCATCCCCTTCTTTGGTCACCGCACGATTGGGGGACTCGGGTCGTTCTCCGAGGACGTCTCGGGCGACTGGGGCCTTGACCGCGCAGTGGGATTTCGAGGTCACCAGGCAGTCCGTCAGCACGCGGTGTTGGAGGCCTGCAGATCGCGTCGTCCCCACCCCGTGCCCCCCGCGCCCGGGCCCCCCCCCCACGCAGCTGCGCCAACCATGCGCAGCAGCACAACCATAGACTTTGAGAGTTCCGCGGGGATCCCTTGGATCGGCGTTGCCTCCCCCCTCCCCGCCCAGCCCCTGGCGGCGCCTCCGCAAGCTGGGGGTCTCTCAGACCCCTCAGAGCGCCGAGATTCACGATTGCTGTGATGCTGCGAGGTACGTCTCGCTAGTACCATCCCTTCCGTCTTTCAAAATGCAATCGATTAACATCGACCCGAGGTATAAGATCGAGGTCGGTTCGGGGAGGGCACCGTAATGTTCCTCGTGTGTGTTGCATGTTCTTGTGCATCCTGGGGGAGTATGCCCTCGAAATTGTTCCAGTTTGAGCCGGCGGAGGTTTTCATGTTCTTGGAGGATGTCTTTCAAGTCCAACCGTACCTTTCGTTAAACGTTCAAAACCGTGTTGATCACGTTGCGCTATGGTGGTCTAAGCAGACCTCAAAAAAAACTTTATTGGGGTGATACGCACTTCATCCGCCCGAGCCGTCATATTATGTTTGTTAATCAGGGTATGGCCCACCAGGACGTGGACCAGGCTAATGATGATTCGACCACTTCCTGAAATTAGGCAATAACTTAGCCGATGCTTCCGCAAAAGTTGCCGCCCGATCTCATCCTGTTGCGTCTGCTGACGAGTTGGTCGAACTGGACCAGCAACGGGCGGTCGCCAGAGCAGTGGGGATCCTTGCGGCGAAGCTTTACCCGAATGGCCGCCGCTCAAACTTGGACCTGATGTGGTGAGGGAGTGCGCTGCTGGTTAGGGCAGAGCGGTCTCAACCACACACTGTACCAGATATGAGGTTTCCGGGCGGGGCCAGGGCGAGGATAAATCCGTTCCAGAGCGTCTTGGGGCGCTCTCAGAGCGTTCCCGCACGCTCTGAGAAGGCCGCGGCGCCCGATATATCCTCTAGAGCCGCTGGATCTCAGAGATTCTCGATTTATCCTCATCACATGGTATCCTCGTCCTGGCTTCGTCCTTGGTTTCTGAAAGTGCAAGGCTTATCTTGTTGTGTCTAAAGGGGCGACGCCCACCCAGGACCTGTCGGACGGGACTGGGGGTTGGAGGCGTCACCCCCTCCCTGGAGTCTGCCCTGCGAAAAATCTCGGCTAGTCCCCGGCTGTCTTGAGGAGCGTGAGCATACAGTCGGCCTCGATTAGTACGTCGACCCTGCCAATTCAAGAGTACCATTGTGTCCTGTATTTAGAGACCCGTGCCTTTACATTATTCTGACAGTGTAGCCCTCGGAAGGGTCTTGTGTCCACTCGCGCGTCCTCTCCAATCAAGTCCGACTGCAATTGAGTCTCTCTGTTGTGTCCCGACTCGTCGCGGATCACTGTCCATCTTCAGGGTGAGGCCTACAGCCGAGCCGGACTGGAGAAGACGAGGCCCCCCAGGTTTCTGGCAGAGATCCAGGGGATGGCTCCAGTTCGAACTAATTGGCTCACTTCCATCGCCGATCCACTGGCGATGTATCGCCGATTCCAGCTCGATCTTCCCCCCTCTCCTGAGTTGGCCTCTCCGATCGTTGTCCCTCACCTCACCCAGAGATCCGCGAGAGGGCTTCGCAAGGGGGCCTCTCCTGGGGGCGTTGCAGGCACGATGGCGCCTGCAAACTACGGAGGCCCACTCAAGGTGGGCAGTGGGGTCTGCACCTTCCTTGGATCGAAGGCGAAGGGAAATCCACGAGCACGTACCACATAGAGCAGCGTACAGCCACGAAGAGGCCCTGCATTGGGCGCCTTGTCCGAGAGGCAAAGGAGGAAACGGTCTGCTGCTGGTTATTGCTCTCCTGCTGGTTGGGGGTCCCCCCTAACGTTCCCTCCTCGAGGCGGGAGAGGAAGGACGTCTTCAGGCTCCAAGCATCCTCCGATATGATTTGTTCAATCCGCGGCCCTGGAGCTCCTGACCCCATCCTTGGAGGTAGTTTGTCGTCCCGAATCCATGCTCCATGCTTGATGGCCCCAGAGACCGACAACGCGCTGTCGGGCCCAAGAAGCCGAGACCCAGGCAAACTGCCAGGATTGCAAGACCGTATTGGTGGAGGTCCGGGTACCCCCCTCACGCCCTCCCGCGAGGCGGGAGGGGAAGGCCGTCCGTAGGACCAGGGAGCCTTCGCGGAGGGGCTCAGGCGCCTCTCCCCTGGCTGCCGGGGAAGTCTCGCGCCGAGGGGGCGCAAGAGAGCGCAGCGGTGGCGGCTGTTAGGTCCCCGCGCACGGGATAGGAGGTGCCTGGGCCCTCCCAGAGAGGTTCGGGAGATAAGCGAAAATTGTCCTCTTTCCTCTCCTTCCCTCCTCTCGTTCTTCCTTTGGTCCTTACATCCTCCTCCATCTAGCCCCTCCTCCCTATACCTGCCAGCTCAGCACAGCAACATAGTATCATTAAACGTGACAACAGCACCGCAGCATGGGCCCCAACACAGCAGCATAGCACACTCAGGTGGAACAGACCATTGGTCATATCATCGTATAGCATAGCGTAGCATGGCGCAGCATATCGTTGCACGTATCATAGCACATCGTACACATCAAATGCTACATAGCAAAGCATAGCATAGCGTAGCGTAGCATATCATAGTGTATATCATAGCATATCATATCACAGCATTCACAGCACATAGCATAGCATAGCGTAGCATCGTGAATGCGAGCTTTGTTCTCGTTCTGGACATACTGTTGCAAGGTGATGAAGTCTTGCCTCCTGGTTGTCGCATTGTCACGCATCCGCAGCCGTTTTGGCCGAATGAGTTCGGGTTCGGATTCAGATATTTTGTGTCCTTCTCGGGGCTCCTCGCCTTATGAGATTCTCGAGCCCCGCGTGCAGAAACGCGCCAAGAGACGCGACACACGATGCCAGGGCCCGCGTTTCATGGTTGCGATTTGTGGTGATTGCTCAAAGGCTGAACCTTCGGATAAAGACACATTGGGTCGTCTATGCAGGCCCCTCACCCACATTGACCTTCCGCGAGCTGAGGATAAGTACTTGCTTGGCATTGCTGTGTCAAACTGGAGGCTTCTGGACCCTGGGACACAATTGAGCTCGACCCAAGCACTCCTGAGATCAGATGTTGGTCACCGCGCTTATGCTGGACACGTGGGTTTTCTCGAATATACATACATCACTGGTATGCCGTGCAGGCGCCCAGAACTGGTGCCCCGATCAATTGGCCCAATTAATCTTGCACGAATTCAAGAATTTGTCGGACGAGACCCGTTGTTTCGAACTTTTCTGCAGAGGCACGCGCTGCCCGTGTCGGACGTGCTGGTAACATCGGTGTTGCTTGGCCGCTGTGTGGCAGCAGGTTTCCTAGATGCATGCTGTTACGTCCCATTTTTTTGCGCAATCGGAGGGCGTCGCCTTTTGTTTCCAGGCCCACGTCATAAGATATGTCAGCGTACCGACGGCGTGTTCAAGACAACGACCCAGCATGTTCGGAACCCGATGCCGTGCAAAATGAATTGTTGGATGTTTCTGAGTTTGGCGGTGGTGATCGCCGCACTACGAAGACGGCCTTGCACGCATTGCGGTTCATTAGAGCTATAGCACGTTTGAAAAAAAAATCAAAGATCTGGAACAGCAGAGTGCAGCCACGCTGCAAGCTCACTGGCCAGAACTCTACCAATCCATGCCCGATGAGTTGTTCAAGAGTGGCTTCTCGTATCCCAGCAAAACATCTGTATAC